TGAACTCCGAGGTAAATTCAAAAAGGAAAGTCCCCAATCAAATGGCAAAATCAAAAAAAAAAAAACACAAACACATCAAACGAATGGACAACAACTGTCATATTCCTGACATGGTACAGGCATTTTCCTATGTTAAAAATGGCGGATTGAACCTGGTTTTATAGCTAGCTAAACCTCTCACTTGTATGACAGTCGCATCAAATTCCATTATATTGACAACGATGCGTGAACAAAACAAACAGACACAATAGGTAAAAATGTCAAAAATAGGGGTACAGCAGTCAACATTGTGTTATCATCTTAATCACTATAAAAACAAACAAATGTAACGAAGAAGCACAAAAAGGCATACATCAAATTTAACATCCTCATTTTGCTTATATTATACGATTTTATTTATCTTTGTAAAATCCACCCATAAAGGATGGAAGGTTTTAAGTACTGGCGTAAACTCGCGCGTTTGAAATTCGCACAGGTAGACATAAAATAATTTTGTCGTTCAAAGTATGACAGGATACATAAATACAGAGTCACGTAAAATGGATATAACAAAAAACAGACTAAACAGTAAAAGTAATATTAATAAATCGAAATAATTTTGTCGTTCAAAGTATGACGGGATACATAAGCACAGAGTCACGTCAAATGGATATCTCAAAAAACAGACTTAACAGTAAAAGTAATATTAATAAAGATAAATAAAAGAATACTATAACACGTTATTAAGATGATAAACAACGTCAGTACGCAAAATCTATATTAAATTATTCTGGATTATCTAGCTATGAGCTTTTCTACTGATATACGTATGTTTGCGATTTCTTTTTTAAAATCTCGTACCGGTAAGTGATGGTGCTAAGTCTTCATTCTTATAAGTTTGAGCCAAATATGTCTTCTCTAATTGCAAGCAAACAAAAAAAATCATTCGAATAAAGCAACGTCTTCAAGACATCAGCAGGTACAGGGTAAAAGTAACACCAGCGAAAGTTACTTGTGCATTTGTATTTGTTCTGTAAACAATTTCCATGGCTTTTTATTCTCATGATATGCCTTCTTAGATGTTCCAGATCTTAAAAGTCCTATACATAATATTTGAATAAACTCTGCTGCCACCACTTCAAATAAACCATAAAACCTACCAAATAGTGGTCTCATATACCTAAGTCAAAAATGACAAAATTTACATTGAATAAAACGAAATCGGAAATTGCATGATAGCGTGCTTCAAAAACTAGTAAGTCCACATAAGAAAAAATCCGATTTAAAATACTTTTTTGTTTAAAGATTAAAACGACTCAAACGGACAATACAACAGTATTTAAAATGTATTTCAAAACTTCTTACTTTTCCTAAACAATCGTTTCTGTGAATTGTTGACGATAATACAGATACCGGGATTTTAATTCATACAATACGGGGTATCAGTTGACAAAACTTATTTACTATGTCAACATCCGAGAAAAACTGCTAAATACCTATTGCAAGCTTTCAGTAAGAGAAAAAAACTTTATATATGAAAATTTTCGATAAAATTTATTTATTTTGTTCGTCGTACCATTGACATTAATGTTTAAAGTGACTTATAGACCCAAAGGGAAAAACACATGTCACTATAATAAATAAATTACTTACTTACTTATTTATAAATTTTTTAATTAATTAAATTCTTGGTATCTTTTGTTGTGTATGGAAGCCGGTAAGAGTCATGTAGTTTTACGCAATACAATGTTAAGGCAATGTTTCTTTTTTACAATTGACAAAACATGAAAAGTAGACGTTGATACTTTTTCTGAATTAACTAAGCAATTCCTTTCTTGATTTTTCTGATAGTTTCTACTTACATGGAATCTGTGGTATCAAGGAGTCTAAATGTTAAGGTTGAAGTTATTTCTTTGAAAGTTTTGCGGACGCTATTGTGATTTGGTTGAGCATGATGGAAATTATTTATCAAAGAAGACCATGGTTATGTTCATTTGTAGCCAAGACCCGTTTCTTTTCCTTGTGATATTACCAAATGCGACATATGTTTCTTAAATAAGCAACATGTAGGATGCGACTAGTGGAACAGGAACTGCTTACTATTCGAAAGCACATGAGCACCTGGAAGTTTGGTAAGGTTTGTGTTGCGCATGCATATTTTGATTAATGAATGATAACGTCTTGTGACACAATGTTTCACGAAACGACCGCTTGGCGTACACAATTTTAATCCTGGTATCTATAATGAGTTTATTTACAACTTCTGGGTTGATGCCACTGCTGATGAAGGTTTTCTTCCAGATAGTATTACGAGCCCAGTAGTCAGCAGTTCTGTGTTGACATGAATTATCATTGATTTGGCCATAATCATACATTGATTATTTACAAAACTTCTAATTTTTTTTTAAATACTTAGGATTTTCTATCCCAGGAATATATTACCTTAGCTGTATTTGGTAAAATCTGGGATTTTGGTTCCTCAATGCTCTCCAACTTTGTACTTTATTTGGTCTTTTAAACTTTTTTATACGATCGTCACTGATGAGACTTTTGTAGACGAAACGCGCGTCTGGCGTACAAAATCTTAATCCTGGTATCTATGATGAGTTTATTTCATGCATAGTAAGGACGAGATCAAATGCATCAGCCAATTAATTAGGTAGTTACATGTACTACCAAGTCGATCAAAATAACAAAGAGCCAAATAAGTTTTCTCTTCTTTTTTTTTTAAAGAAATTGCAAGCAAAATTTTTTAATGATAAAGCAACTTCTTCTAGACATTTTCGCAATTGGCAAATTACCATTTCCATGCACGTGTATTTCTGCATTACAAACAAATACCAATCTGATTCCACGTGTCAAGGTGTCAAATGTAGCTTATAATGTTAAATCAAAGTACTGAAGTACTGAACATCGGATGACCACAAGTTCTTGAGGATGGTCAAAAGCACTTGTCTCAGAAAAAAACAACATATCTCTTTACCTGAAACTGAGGTTAATGTACAGAGATATATTTTTTTCTAGACAAGTGCGTGCGAGTATGATAAATAAATGACAGGAAATTCAACTTAACCTTAATAACTATTATATTGTAGTGATACAAATCTGTATACACTGATTTGTTGTTATATATAATATTAAAATAACAGTTACATATATATATGATTTGCATCCGTTTGTATATCATTCTATTCTACTGTTCTAATAATAGTGCAATGCAAGTGCATGGTGGACACTTTTCTGTAAAAATTCGATTTTTCTAAGATTGGATACGAGTAGGCATTCATATTTTCCCGCAAAAACAATTACAGAGTTACCGGTCCTGTCGCAAAACGTTCTTTGAGATATTCTTCCGCATGCTTTAACACAATTTTTCGGTACGTGTGCATTGATATTATCAATGATTTTTTACTTATATATATATATATATATATATATATCTAACTACAAAACATTTTCACATTATTAATTTATGTTGTAAACAAAAATATTTTTATCAGTATTCATTGAAGAGATGTATTTATATCAAATGACAAGTGATGTTATTTTGCATTCGTTTATGTGCGCATATTTATCATGTTTATAGATCGGTTACAAACCCAAAACTAATTTACATAATGGAAATCTAGGCGATAGCAATACATCGGAGTGACCTCAAGGTCATCGCGATGTAAAAATACCTATGTGAATAAATCAACAAATCAAACATGTGATGATGTTCATAAGGTTCAACGTCTAGAAGTTCAAATCCGCTTGTGCAGCATAAATGTCCTTCTAGCAAGTTAAACCAAAACGATGTTGCTCTGGTTTATGTGTTCCATTAGCAATTTCCATGGCTTTCAGATGCATAATATGCATTCTCATTTAGATGTTTAAAGTTATGATATTTGAGTATTCTGCTGTCTTCGCTTCAAAGAAATCATAACACCTACCATATAGTGGGTTTCATATATCTAAGTAAAAAATGACAAAATTTACATAGAATAAAACAAAATCGGGAATTGGATGATAATGTGCTTCAAACGCTAGCAAGTCCATAAGAGAAAAATCTACCCAGCTTATCACTGATGGAAAAATATGTTAAAAAATAATGCTAAATTTTGGAAAACTTTTCATTGGTGAGCCGACTGTTTTAATGTTTTGGAAAGTGTAAAACTAATGACCTGCATTTGAGGACTAGTTGAACAATGAAGTGACCCCAAAAGACCAATAGGAGTTCCAAATGGTGAAATAACAAATGAAATATAAATCACATTTGGATATTTGATACATAGCCTTGTTTTGATAACACTTATGTAATGCGTTGGAAACACTTTAAGACTATTATCCTGTTGAATTATGATTAATCTATATAAAAGAAAAAGAAAACAATGAACAAATAAATTGAGATGTTAGTATACGTCAATTGGACAGCAATCAAACGACACAAAAAAAATGAAACTAAGAGGCCAACATATAGTCTTTAACAATGAACATGTATCTATACAATTGGTCAATCTCTGGGGTCGTTTTTGTTCAAATTTATTAGGCTGCATCTTTATTCGCTTCAAAATATAATATACCATACACATTATTTTATTGCACCAATATTTCTCAATATTCGTGTAATAACTCTTAACAGGTATGGCAAATCTTTAAAAATGAAGATTATGTTAAAAACAAGAGCCAGAAGATACTAAGGGGGACAACAAATAATTATAAGTAGAAAGGAAACGGACAACAACATGGATAAACAGCAAAACGACGAATAGATAAGTCAGTCTATAAAACACTGCACAAATATATAAACTAAAGACTTATCAACACAAGCCCACATGAACCGAGCGTATTTATATTTTAACATAAACGTCACAACTTTTCAGCAACATAACAGGAATTACATGCTAAGTTTAATGCTGGATGCGTTTTACAATTACGTAATATACATTTACTATACATAAAGTTAAATAAGATTGCTGTTCAACGTAAGAATTATTAAGTGAGAGATAACATCAAAGCAGCAAAGCAATAATTTAGCTTACCGACTTAGTCAACGCTCCCAATCTAAGATATGTGCAAAATAGTGAAGCAAGCTTGCTACTTAGTTTATTATATATGATTAGGTTCTAAACGTTTATATGCAAAGTTATTACTAAGAATCATAAATATAGAACAAGTCATTATAAGTATGGGTTTTTAAAAAGAACCAGTTTTTGTTATTGAGATTTATTATTAAACCCTCTAACAATACATTTTTTTTAAAAGTTTATCAACATTTAAAGGAATTACGGAAACTACTTAGTGCTTGGAAAAATCTAAATGGGAATTCATTTTTATTTTTTTAAATTCGAAATTCAGAAAATTATAAAAAAAAACTGTTGTCTATTATTTTTAGTAAGTTTCTGTTGGTTCTATAGATTCTCACATATTCAAGTATTTATACATCAATTTTTTGGGGGTTTGAGCCTCCCTGATGAAGGTCGATCTAAAAAAGCAATTTGGACGATTTTTGTTTTTTCTGAAGACCAGAATATTCAATTATCCTGATGATTTTCATATTTTGAAGGAAAATCAAGCAAATTTCAGAAAGAAATTACAACAGATCTAAATCAAAAATAAACACACATTTAATTTAGGAAGAAAACAAATGTATCTTTCTAGATTCTACCTCTTAAAAATGGATAAAGTAAACTTTCTTTTTTATTTTTCAAATATCTATAAACAACTGCTCTAATGGTGTTGAAATACTTATTAAAATTGCGGTCGTAATGTATTGTTGAACTCTGTTCAAAAGAAAAATATATGAGTACGATTTCAATATTCATTTAAATAGTTCAAGAAGTTTTCCCCGAAATCTATTTCTGTTTAAACACCGAGTTATCGAAGTAACTGGTGTACGCCTTGTCATTGGAACTGTATTACACAAACCAAAATCAATGGAAACATGAACAATATATTTTCATACTTCTTATGCATCATTTATTAAGTATGCCCGGAATTCAACGACTTATGAATATGGCGCTTTGTTTTATGCTAGTCATCATGAAACATATAGTTGTTATGAATGTGTATTTCCTAGGCAGTATAAAAGTAGAATCTCTAAAATGTGTAGGCTGTATGAATATTTGTTAATATACAGTACATTTCAGTCTGATTTCTGGCAACAGAATTATCCTCTTCTGACTTTGACTCTTCAATTTTGCCTGTTTTCCCCAAGGACGCGTCATGTGAATTTTGTTACTAGTAAGTGCTGTGTATCTTTGCAGTACTGAACAAATTCATTAAGGGGACGTCCATTTAACTCTGAAAAGGGGCGGGTACGGTTTGTTTTCACCAAAAAATGATCACACCCTTCATTAAATCTTCAAAACAGCTTTTGCGATGGCACTTTTGTATTTTTTCTTTTAAATAATCAATACCTTGGTCTTCCGTACAAACACCACAAGTCAATTTGCATATGTCCGCCAAGTGTTAAGACTGATTGTATTTAAATAGGAAATGCTACAGATATGTGAATGCCGCCAAAAATGCAGAAATGTCACAATTGAAGTGTGAAACTATGTATAAGAGCAGTGATGGAATTAACAAACATATACGCCATTTGGTTCTCTCTATACTTACCGACGACTTCTTGGTCCTCTTCTTTCTACTGGAATTCGTCAATATCAATAGAGCTGTACAGCTGATCCAACTGGTCATTTGGAGATCCATTATGATGAAAAATCAATCAACTATTACAAAACCAAGCCTTAAATGCGTAACCAGTCTCCACTGTATAATGTTGGCTATAACACAAACAATCAGCGATCATATTATTATTACGCCCTCACCAATGACCTCGGGGTCTGGAGAAGAACACAAACAGTATGGGTTGTTAAACATTCTGTAGTAGAATTAGTCGGACATCCTCCTGCCGTTGTCAATCGCAGCGCCTTATCAGATTTGCAAATTTGCAATCGAGATAAGAACAAACGAAGTCGACGAAAATTGGCATCGCTGGCATCAGCTTTTAACCTGATTAAGATTATTAAAATTCAGAAGAAGTAATTTTGAGTTGTTATAAATATCTTTATATTATTTATAAAATCTTAAAATAAAATTGAAATAGACAACTTTATAAATTAAAAAAAAACATGATGTTTCATTAAGATTGGTTCTGAAGGATTTTTAAAGAAATGGAATTGGAGTTTCCTTAGAATCCTATTTCACATAAAACTAATTAAAAAAAACCATTCGTCAATAGACTTATATTTGGTTATCTGTCACTGAACGTTAAGAAGACAACAAATTAAAGCACTTTTTTTCATGGTTGAAAGTCTGTTATCTGTGACGTGTATTTACAGCCACTTGGTTAACAGATCGCTCTTTTTGTAGTTCATGCGATTCCTTCAGTTTTTGTTTGTTACCCTTATTCGTCTCTTCCTTATCAATTTGAGACATTTGAACAAAACCTTTAGAGTTCTGTAGCATAAACAGCATTGCTGATGAAAGGTGTTTCTACCCAAGTCATAGAGATGACCAGATTTGGCCAAACATTTTTTGAATTATTGGTTTCAATTCTTTTCAACTTTTTGTTGATTTGTCTTTTCAACTATTTTGATTCGAGCGTCCCTGATGAGTCTGGTGTAGACGAAATGCGCGTACTAAATATATAAGCCTGGTATCTTTGATGAGTTATTTTTTAACAAGTTCAACATTAAGTTTTCCTAAATATACAATTTTTTTGATTAATTGTGAGTTACATGTTTTTCTTTTTTGATATGTCTAAAAGGGGGAAGGTATGGTTTACGTCAACCTAACGACTAAGAAGAAAAACAAATCAGTTCTACTTCCTCACCTTGTAGTTATAATATTAGCCAATGAAATATCAGTCTTTAAAATCTTTGAAGAGGTGCATCATCATGACAAATTCAGATAACACAGAAAGGCCTTTAAAACAGAAAATAGTACGAAGCGCTGTCAGATCCTTGCAACCAAAGCGTGGTCAGATCCTTGTAACCAAAGCGTTGTCGGATCCTTGTAACCAAAGCGCTATCAGATTCTTGTAACCAAAGCGTTGTCAGATCATTGTAACCAAAGCGTTGTCACATCCTTGTAAGCGAAGCGTTGTCAGATCCTTGTAAGCGAAGCGTTGTAAGATCCTTGTAAGTGAAGCGCTGTCAAATCCTTGTAATTAAAGCGGTGTCAGATCCTTGTAACCAAAGCATTTTCAGATCCTTGTAACCAAAGTGTTATCAGATCCTTGTAACCAAAGCGTTGTCAGATCCTTGTAACCTAAGCGCTGTCAGATCTTTGTAACCAAAGCGTTGTAAGATCCTTGTAACCGAAGCGTTGTCAGATCATTGTAACCGAAGCGTTGTCAGAGCCTTGTAACCAAAGCGTTGTCAGATCGTCAGATCCTTGTAACCGAAGCGTTGTCAGATCCTTGTAAGCGAAGCGTTGTCAGATCATTGTAATCGAAGCGTTGTCAGATCCTTATAAACAAAGCGCTGTCATATCCTTGTAAGTGAAGCGTTTTCTGATCCTTGGAACCAAAGCGTTGTCAGATCCTTGTAACCAAAGCGTTGTCAGATCCTTGTAACCAAAGCGTTGTCAGATCATTATAATCGAAGCGTTTTCAGATCCTTGTAACCAAAGCGTTGTCAGGTCCTTGTAAGCGAAGCGTTGATACAAGATCTGTATTACAATCAGATTGGTCCTAATAGTAAAGTTGTGAATTAAGAGACTATCAAAAATCTGCCAATAACACCGAATTCACCAAAGAAAATTGAGGCGCAGCTAAACTTGTCGGTTTATTTTACTCCCTAACTTTTACCCTTTTTTAATTCGATCAGGAAAATAACAAAACATACATCGCCCTACTATGTGTTGGTTACCTAAACTACACAAAAAAAAAAACAGTAAAATATCGTTTCATCTCGGCCTCTAATAAGTGTTCTACAACTAATCTTTCAGTGCTTTTAACAAGTTCCTTAACTACTATCAAAGAGCTTATCATAAACTATTGTAATAAAATATATGAAAATAGTGGAATTAACCATTTTTGGAGTGTAAAAAATTCTTTGGATGTTTTAGATAAATTACGTGCTTTTGATGGTCCTTTTGATTCTGTTGACAGTTTTGACTTTTCTACTTTTTACACTACACTTCCACACAATCTTATCAAACAAAAATTTGACTATTTAATTAAATGGTCGTTTGGTAAATCTGAATGCAAATATATTTGCTGCAACTCATTTAAAGCCTTCTTCTCTAATGAGAAAGGTAAATATGCTAGATATACTTACTGGAGGTATGATGAGATGATTGAAGCTGTAAATTTTCTCCTTGATAATATTTATGTACGTTTCGGCAGCAAAGTTTATCGACAGGTTGTAGGTATTCCTATGGGCACTAATTGCGCCCCTTTAATAGAAGACTTGTTTTTGTACTGTTATGAATCACAGTTTATGACCAAACTCAGTAAAGACCCGTCTAAATTGCATTTAATTGATAAATTCAACAACACTTACCGTTATATTGATGATATTTTTTGTTAAATAATCAAGAATTTTCTCAATATACTGCCGACATTTACCCAAAGGAACTTACTTTAAATAAATCAAATTTAAACGGTAACGACTGTCCTTTCCTAGATTTAGATATTTCGGTTTTACACGGGAAACTTCACACTAAAATTTACGACAAAAGGGTCGATTTTTCGTTCCCTATTGTTAATTTTCCCTTTTTGGATGGTGATGTTCCTTTGGCACCATCTTACGGTGTTTATATTTCACAACTCGTTCGCTATGCCCGTGTCTGTTGTGACGTTTTTTATTTTAACGAACGTAATCTATGTATTACTGGTAAATTATTAAGCCAGGGATTTCGTTACCACAAATTACTTAAAACCTTTACTAAATTCTTCCACAGATATAAAGATTTGGTTTTGAAATTTGGTTGTACCTGTAGAAAAATTATTTCAAACGGGATTGCACATCCTCATTTTTACGGCAATATTGTTTTCCGTGCCCGGTAATTTAGAAACGATCCTGGTAAACTTATCGATCCTTTAAATAAACTTATTCTAAAAGGTTACCAATTCAAAAATAT